AAAGCAGTTGAAATAACAGCTAGATATGGATTAGAAAGTGGACGTCATTTAGGACCAGTTATGTCTATTAATAGAAGTCCTCCTAATCCAAAATTCTTTTTAACAGTTGGAGATTGGAGTGCTAAAATTTGGGTTGAAGATATTAAAACACCTATAATGAGAACAAAATATCATGGTAGTTATTTAACCGATGGATGTTGGTCTCCTACTAGAAATGGTGTTTTCTTTTTAACTAGAAAAGATGGATGGATGGATGTTTGGGATTATTATTATAGACAAAATGAAATAGCTTTTAGTCATAAAGTTAGTGAAACAGCATTGACATGTATTAAAATTAATTCAAATGGTGGTGCACATCATAATGCTGGAAAATTAGTTGCTATAGGTGATTAAGATGGAACAGTTACATTATTAGAATTATGTGATTCATTATATTAATTGTAATTTAGAGAAAAAGATGTAATGAATGAAATGTTTGATAGAGAATCAAGAAAAGAAAAAAATCTTGAAGCTATTAAAAAATAATAAGATTTAATGAAGAAAGTTGTACCAAAAGACAATAAAGCTGCATAATAGAAATGGGAATAAAGAAAAGCTGAATTAATAACTGAAGCTGAATAATAATTTAGCTAAATTGTAAAAAAAGATGAAGAGGCTAAATTAAATGATTATTAAGAATTTAGTCCAAAAGCTTAAAAAAAGTAAATAACTAAATTTATATAATTTTAGAGAAGATAAAAAGTAACCATCTCCAAAAGAGGATGATAAATAATAATAATAAGGAAGTGGAGGATAATAACAAGATTAATAAGATTAAGGATAAGGAGATGGAAATAAAGATGGAGGATAATAAGATGGAGATGATGGATAATAATAAGGGGATGGTGGTTAATAAGAAGGTGATGATGGTTAATAATAAGGGGATGATGATTAATAATAAGGAGATGATGATTAATAGTAAGGAGATAATGGAGATGGATAATAAGATGGTGAATAAGAATGATCAAGTATTATTAATATTATTATTATTATTATTATTTATTCTAATGCATATACAAATAGTTAATCTTTTCATATCTTTAAAAGATTCTCACTTATTTACATTCTTGGCTTTAAATATTCTATAAATCCTTATAAAAGATTTATCTAATGTTAATTCTTTATTTTTTTATCCACTAACACAACTCCAACTTATTTAAGCTCTTTAAATACTTCTGATAGATCATCTTTTTTATATGTATAAAGTAATTAAAATAATTTATGACAATTCTCTGCAGCAAGTAAACCTAAATTCTTATAAATCCAATCTAAAATAAATTCATCTTATTGTTTTGATCTTAATTAAATAGCCAATGCTGTAAAAACACGATCAGATAACATTGGGTCTGGATTTCTCATATATAAATAAAATGCTTCAGGTAAACGTTTCATTTTTATTAAACAAAATGCTTCCATCCAATTCCTATTTTATATTTCATTCTATCAATACCAATTGTTCTATTGTGCCTTTTAACGTAATTCTTCCAATAATTTAAATTACCCTTCAAACTATTTCTCTACTTTCAGCATCACTTTATGTAAAAATTCATTCTTTACTAATTCACCTGATAAATCCTTTTAAGCTTTTCCTCTCAAAATCCAAGTTATATCAAATAATGTATTTTACTATTATCTAAATAAATTCATATAATTCATAAGGTTAACCATAATATGATTCACATTAAAAAATATTGGACATATTGCAAATACATTGGCTGAAAATGCACAAGAATATTACATATATACTTCTATTAGTTTCCCATTATTTAATCTACCATAGTATGTCTACTCTGCCATCTTTATCAATATATATATTTTTGATAAAATCATCAGATGATGCTCTGTTTATTCAAGATCTAATGTTAATTCTTATTATTACTCAATATTTCTGGTAAAAAACCATTCATTATATCATTAGATAATTCTATTTTTATTTCCTTCCCTTCATTTATAAATTACTTAAAATTTTCCTGTATTCTCTCAGAAAATATTTATAGAAAAACTTCTAATGTCTTTATGTAATCTATCTCAAATAATTTTTATAAATTTTGCATATCAAACAAGTATTCAAATAAATCTTTAAACATTGATTTAAACTGTCGATCAGTAAAAAATGACTCTGGATTCTATTGATTCTATCCAGTAAAGCAAAATGATAAAAAACTTATTTAATTTATTTAAATACCTAAATAAATAGGTTTTGCATTAATCTAAACTCAAAGTAGTAATACTTCTGTTTTCTTCATCAGTTAAAACATTCTTACTTGAAAGAATGCTAAGCAGTGTTATAATTCTTAGATAAGGAGTTAAAAAGTCATTTATTTAAGAACAAATATGCATCATTGGTTCAATTAGATCTTCTTCTAAACAAAAATCTATTAATCCTTTTGGATCATGTCTCTATATATTTTAAATTGACATTATTAATTTAGTACAAATTTCTTTATCATCCATTTCTATAAACATCTTCAAAACTTTTAATTAATGCTAATAGGGTATATTAACTTATTATTATTGTAATAATTCTCTTAAATAATCATAAAATACATTTCGATAACCACATCCTACCATGAGGTCTTCAATTGATTCAAATAAATATTCTTCATTTTAAGTTTTTATTAAGAAATGCATGATAGTTAAAACTGACTTACTATTTTTTAATTATTTATTAGGTAATTGAGATAACATATATTACAATCCTAATTTACAGCATGTTTCTTTTATACAATAATGTCTTTGAATATCATTTTCAGGAATATTACATAATAAAGTCAAATAACCTTTATGTATATCTACTGCTGTTTGAAAACACTTCTCCCATTCATTATTATCACTTTATTCAAATAATAATTCATCCCATTTCTTTAGACGAATAGATTATAATTCTGTTCCATTTAAAATATAAATTTGTTCATTTTTATAGATTATTTATACTAAATATAATTATAATTCTTACAATTAGAATGCAATTACTTAAAATTCAAAGTAATATCATTTGATCTCTAATATCCATCATTAATTGAATCCATTACACCTTAATTTATGATAACCTCTTTTTTATTATCCCTTATAAAGGTATAAAACTTTGGATTGTATTGACCACTTTGTAATGTTTAGATATTCTTCTCTTAATTAAAATGCTTTTCTATTTAACTCAAATTAAATGGTACACCAAATTCAAATTAAGAGGTTGTCATCAACTTTACAATTGTCTAATTTAATTTATTGTGCAGAACTGAAAAAAACACAGAATTAGTTATAAAATTACATACAACAGGAAATTCTTTTAAGTAAGTTAAATCAACAGAATTATAAAAGTGCCCTCCTTAAATTACTTAAATTTTGTAATCACTAGACATCACTTTAAAAGCATAATATTCTCTGTATCCCCAATTAATAATTAAAAGTACATATCTCTTATTAGTCTCCTTAAAACTACCTAAACCCCAAGCACAAGAACATCTAGTTTGACATTAATCATTTGCTTAAGGTTAATTAAAAAGTATATTATAGATTAAAGCATCAGGCCTTTAAAAATTCAATAATAACTAAATTTTTGATTGTTCTTCATTTAATTTGTTACCAAAAAAAACTTTGACTACTTAAATTTTATTTACAAATCCAACAGCCATTAAATACTTAAAATTATTTGAGTAAATATTACAAATTGTGTACTGAAGATAAATTCATTCTTTTCTTCTAGTTATTCTTATTTTGAATTGGTGCTGCTTTTAAATAAAGATTTTAAAAAATTTTTTTTTCTATTTTTTGTTGGTGATAAATCTATTTAACTGCCAAAAGATGCTGTGCTTTCTCTATCATCCATACATTGTATATATTCTTCATAATATGAATCCATTATTGATACATCTTGAATTATTAATTATTGAGATATCACATAATCATTTTCCATTACCTTCTATAAAAACATAAATCTGAAAATTTACAGCATGTCTATTTTCTTTAATCTTTTATTTTTCACAAGGTACACCATATTTATAAATTGGTATAGCTATTTTTTATTCTAATGTAGTAGCATTTACTTCTAGAGGAACCTTCAATAAATAATTGTTTTCCAAATGAACAATTACTTCATAATACTGTTCCTTTTATAATTAAAGTGAATCGTCTTAATTAATAGACAAAGGAACCATATAAACATATTTTAGATGTTAATATCTGTGCTAAAAAACCTCTTTAAAGGACTTATTTTGATATTTTAACAATCTTTACCTTTAAACTAAATATGACAAACTCATTATTTGAATATATCACCAATAATAATAAGTTATCATTAGAAATTTATATCATTTTTACTTAACCTCTATAAATTTGAGTATCCTTTCCTAATATTTTATATCCTTGTTTAAAATCATTATCCTAATTGTTGACTTAATAATTACTTATTAAAAAACATAAATGTATGAATATTCCATTCCTACAAATACTAAATCATTATTCATTGTAATGCAAGTGGGTAATCCACATAATTCTTTTTTATAATCAAAAAATTCTTAAAAATTACTATGAAGTGTATTCACAATATAATCTTCTAGATTCACATTTTAATTTGGTTATATTTTTATTTTTTCTTTTTTCTATTTCTTTTTATCGAATGACATAATTTTTTATAAATTATTATAAAAAGATTATCAATATTTAATCTAAACAATATTTTTGTAAGAAATTATTAATATATTCAATAGGTTAACTCTGGTAGGTTGATTAAAATAATTTTAGATAAATAATTTTGTTAGTATTTAATATTAATTTATTTTTTAAATGATTATTTGAGAATACATTAATATGTTTAGGATATGATTTATTAATCCTTTAAAAAATCCATCGATTATTAATAACGAAATAACTTAAAATAAGGTAATTTATTAATTTAATAATAAAAAGTTACCTATCTTTTGATAAATTAAAAAGTTTATAATATAATATAAATTATGAAGATGATTTTGAATAATATTTTTATATTCCATCTTACTTAATTTCTATGAATATTCATTAAAACTTATATAATATTAATAAAATATAAATATATAATTAAAGTATTCTGTGTGTATGGTTCTTTTCAAGTGTCTTTTTTGACTTTATGATTTGTTTTAGTTTTTTCTTTGTCATCCAAATAGTCATCCTTATTATATCTTAACTTTTTATAATATCTATTTTTGATCATATTCATTGTTTTTCCTGGGAAATATTTAACTATTTTATTGAAATTGGGTCCTAGTTAAATAACCAATTCTAAAATTCTCTTATCTTCGAGATAGGAAAATCTAGATAGAATCTATAAGATAAAAAATGATACTTCATATCATTAATCCTTCTTTTCTAGTTTAAGTTTTAATTGAAATCATTATAATCACAATTTGATTGACACTACATAATGGAATAATATAAATGTTCTAAAGATTCCTCTTCAACATGTTGTTATGAGAATCTAAAATGTTATTTTTGATCATACTCATCTATTCCATCATTTAAAATAAATTATTTGATACAGATTGCTTCATCCATTTTATAATTTATATTTTATATAAGATTCGTAATTTAAATTTTGCTTGTGTAATTGCATCTAATTAAATCGTACCAAAAGAATAAATATGAGTTCATTAAATTTGGTAATTAAATTAAAATGAATTATAACTAATTCAAGAGATATTCAATATAATCAATTCCAGATTTAAGATTTAGGAACATTAAATCGTTAAGCATATTTTGTAAACAACCCCTATTCTTTATTTTTAATTTCTTCAACTCTCCATCTAGATTCTAAATTAACTTTATTATATCTATAAAAAGTATTCCTAAACCCAATATGTTATTCAAATTAGGAAGATAAAACTGGCGATCGATGTATATTTTATTTTTTCTTATATTTCTCTCCTACAGCTCTAATATCAATCTTTTATAATGGTGGTAATGAACGCTTTTATTATTGTTATGAATTTTTTTCTGAATATTAGTCTTCATCTATTTCATTAATTGGCAATGGATTGGTTCCTTCCATTTCACCATATAATATGGGTACTCTCTTAAAATTGACTCCATAAATTTAATCAAGTGTTTTTGGCATCGATGAAATCATATTAGTTAATTATAGCTCAATATAAGAATATATTATATATATAGCAATTATTAAATTTTAATTTCAGTAATGATCTTTTTATCTGCCATAACAAACTTTTCATTTTCTTTATCAAGCTATATGTTTTTAGTATATTAGATATCTATTGAATTGCATAGTTTATTAATTTTAATTGTAATAGATTATAATAATATTTAGAGTGTTTCATCACATTTTTTTTAATTTTAAGAGAATTAACAAACATTAAATATTACAATGAATTAGAATTTGAAACAACAAAAATTTTAGTTGCCATAACGGTACAAAATAATAGAGTTTATTTGAATTAGTTTTATATATCATTTAATAAAATATCAGTAAGGTTAATGTTTTTTAAGAATAGAAATTAAAATTAATAACAAAAGAAAACGGATAATATATAAAAAGTTCATTTCTTATTATTGATTTAGGGTTTGAATGGTAAAGTGTTGAATATTTAATTTTCTTTAACTTTTTTCTTCTTTTCAATTCTTTTGTGTTCACTATGTAGTCTATCGAATGGAGATTATTCAATTTGAAATTGGGATACATATTTAGAGTGGTCTGAATTGGCATTTTTAATAATTTTATCAGATTATTTAGAAATAGAAAATTAATTAAGATTTTATTCTTTAATTCCTGAAGCAGATTTAATAGCTGATGATTTATTATAAAGTCTTTCAAATACTTTAATTTTTTATTCAGAACCTTATTAATGTGAAGTATATTGATTAATATTAGGAATGAATGTACAATCATCTAATTAAGCTTAGCTTTCATTTTATTATAATAAAACAAGTTATTATTGTTAATCAAAAAAGTGATTATAAAGTCTATCTTCAACTGGAATAGATAAATATTCTTATTATTCAATAGGTTAACTTATTAATTGAGGTTTAAATGGATAAATCTTTTCTTGAATAATTGGTTTTGATTATCTTTATGATAATGCATTTTAGTATAATCTAGAGAATGGATCACTTTCTAAAGTTTTAAGAGAAGAGTTATGATTTACTTAAGGTCTAAAAGTACATTATTTTAATTCACTTTTAGTTTTAATATCCATACTAATTTGATACTTCATTCTTTAATCATTTCCAAATTTTGATAATCTTTCATAAACTGGTGCCATTGTATCTAATTAATGACTCTTTTTTGATATTTATGGTTTGAATGTACATTCTTTTAGTTAATTTTCAATCACTTTTTAAGATTACTCAATTTTCTTTTCTTCTTTATTTATGTATTAATCATAAAGATAACATGTAGATTGATTATTGCTACTTTACATAGATTTAGACTCTTAAGGAGTAGATTGACTATGTTTACTTCTAGTAGTGAATTATTTAGCACTATTTGAAGTTACAATTGGTTTTGTAATGTTTTAATTCATTAGCCATATTTAAGAGATTCTATTTGATAATTCAATCAATGATTGTCTATTTAATGTAACCAAATGCATAAATAACATTTAACCTAAGTCATCATGAATTTATTCAAAATTTTAATCTTTCTCCAATATTCCTATGATACTGCAATATTCTATAAATTCGTTAACAAATTAAACCATTATTAATAATTATGTTTTTAAGAATTACAGCAACATTATTTAGACAACCTTTACTCAAGAATTCAATAAAGAAATCTTTCATGTTAGCTCCTATGTTATCTATATTAACAAATCATAAATTATTGATATAAAATCTTTCCTATTTGTAAAGCTAATTTTATTAGATGGAAGAAAGTAATGATGAATTAGAGTTGTTGTAAATGAAATTCAATTTATAAAAGATAGGAAGAAGTTCCAGTAGGCAGAATGCAGTGAGACGACTCCTAAACATCCATTAACATAGTGATATTATTACAATACCAAAATCATTAATATTTTTATTTTCATTCTTTTTTTATATGTGGATAGTACTTAATTCTTTATAAATATATTATTTACTAAATTTAATGTAATTTATTCTTTTAATTTAAATTTACATTGTTATTTCTACATTTGACAATAGTTCATTATTATTAACTGATTAGTTTTTATTAAATCACTTATCTATAATAGATAGATCAATAATACATTTTAAGTTTTTTTAAAAAGATATTTTCGATGAATTTAGTAGATTATAATAAATTGAAATTTTCATTTTAAATCAATTCAACATTTGATAAAATTCCAAATTTGAAAAATAATACTATTTTGAGAAAAAATAAATTGAAAATGGTAATAGATTAATTATTATTAAAGAAAATTATAAAAATTTTGAATAATTAAACGAGTAGAGTTGAAAGATCTAAAAAGTATTTATAGATTTGAATATAGAAAAAAAGTCAATAAAATAATGAGAAAAGAAAATAAAATAAAATGCTATTATCCAAATCATGCAATAAAAAATTATTATATTATTATTATAAAGTCTAAATAAGATTAAAATATATTAATTAATACATCATTAAAAATATTTACTTTTAAGTCCTTCAAATCCTAATTCTCCTACTGTTGATAATTCCTTTTAAATTATTCTAAATTTTCTAAATTACACTCTTCTCTTTTTTAAAATATCTTTTGTCATATTCTTTAAATCTAGTCTTTCAGTGTTACAATAATTAATCACTCCTTTTATATCTTTTGGTTTTTATAGTTCCAAATCCAATTTTAATTAAAATTTTTTAAACATAGAAATTTAAGGTTTTTTAAATTGATAATTTAAATTTAAAGGTTAACTCACTTCTGATTCTATAGGAGATTAACTTTAAGTTCTTTTAATTTATTTGTTGGATTTTTTTTCTATAAATATAGAATCAGGAGATATGTTAACACTTTTTAATCCCAAACGTGCCATTTATTAATTTACTTTATTTTATATTCTTTGAACTCTTTCACTTAATTATTATTTAATTTCTTCTTTATGTTAATAATCAATATTTTAGATGGATTGAGATCTTGTTTATGATTTTTTAGGAGTGCAAGGTTAAGAATGAACTTGTTTATTATGATGATTAAATTTAATTTCACATGCTTCTTACTCTTCAAATTTATAACCCATAGTTTTCAATAATTATAAATGTTATTTTGCTTAAAAAAACTAAGACTTTTTCTTCTCAAGTTATGCCATAGGAGTATCACAATGACTTTTTTCAAAAAGTTCTTTTTCTTTCAACTATAAATGTGTTTGGATTTAAGTAATTATTTTATTTAAAATTTCTTTTTTATTTGGGGTCCTTGATTATTCTCTCGAAGTATTATCAATAATACCTAATCAAACTTTATCTCTCCATAGCTACTTTAGTTAACTTATCTTCAAATCTACAAATCTTTTTATCATATTCATCTATCACTGTTGATGGTATTTTATATTATATCTTTTTATACTTATTCTTTTTAGCTTAATAAATTGCCAAATATTCATCATTATATATACCAGGCTTATTATGATATGAATAGTACAAATAGAAACTCAATTTTTTAAGTTAATTTTTTTTTAGTTTCTTTTTCTTCTTATTACATATTTTAATTAATGAAAGAAATGTCTCTAACTTTCAAGATAATTCTTTTAGGGGATTCAAATGTTGGAAAGACAAGTATATTGAAAAGATATTCAGAAAATACTTTTTCAGAATAGCAAGCACCAACAATTGGTTTAGCTTTTTATAAGAAAGTAGTGGAAAGGAAAAATATTAAAATAACGCTTGAAATTTGGGATACAGCTGGATAAGAGAAATTCAAAAAGATTGCTCCGATATATTATCGAAATGCTTAAGCAGTCTTAATATGTTTTGATGTATCAAAAAAGGATACTTTAGAAGGGGCTAAGAAATGGTTAGAAGAAATAGATAAATATTTGAATTCAGATTGTATTAAATTTTTAGTTGGAAATAAATAAGATTAAGGTGAATTTGAGGTAGATTAAACATTTTTAGAGAATAATCACATGAAATATATTCAAACATCAGCAAAGACTGGATATAATGTAGATAAATTATTTAGAAGAGTAGCTAGAACTTTAGCAAAGACTAAAATAAAGAAGATGGAAAGTCTTGACTAAAAGACAATTATTACTCTTTAAGTCTAAGGGCCAGAAGAAAAATAAAAAAAATCTCTATGTTGTTGATTTTGTTTTGTTATTTTCACTTAACTTCAACATTAATTCTAAGCTAATTGTATTCAAATATAAAAGTATATCTAATTCTTTTCTGTATTGACCTGTTATTATTTTTTAACATAATATTATGTATATGATATTTTTATAGAATAATTATATTGCTATTTGATATTTTATTGTCATAATATTCATTAAGCTTTATTAGCAGCAGCAACAATATCTGCAAATCCTGGTTTTAATGCAGCACCTCCAACTAAAAATCCATCAAGGTCTTGTTATTTAATAAGATCAGCAGCATTCTTTTCAGTGACTGATCCACCATAGATAATTCTAGTAGCTTATTCAACCTAAAATTTAATAAATTTATATACTTATGTTCCAAGTTAAGATCTAAGCCATCCTCTAATAAAAGCATGAACATCTTAAGCTTATTCTGGTGATGCTGTTTTGCCTGTTCCAATAGCCCAAACTGGTTCATAAGCAACTACTACTTTACTCCATTATTCTGTTGTCAATTCCTCTATTAATAATATTTAATTTATAAATTACTTTTAATTGCCTCTAATTATGCTTAAATCACTTAGGTTGTATTTCCTGATTCTCTCTCAGCTAATTTTTCACCAACACATGCCATAACACTAAGTTGATGATCTAAAGCTAATCTAGTCTTCTTTCCAACTATTTCATTGCTTTCACCATAATATTATCTTCTTTCAGAATGTCCCAAAATAACCCAAGGAATTCCAAGATCTTTTACATGTTCTACACTTATTTCACCAGTATATGCTCCCATCTTTGTCAAAGATGAGTTTTAAACTGCCACTTAAACATTCTTTTGAATATTGGCTTAAACCCATGGAACATGTAAGAAAATTGGAGCAACAGCAACCTCTAAATAATATTCAATATTAATTACCAACTTTATTTGCATCGAAAACAAGTTTGTTAATGACTGTATTTATCAAACTTTATGTTTATGCTATAGTGTTATTGCATTTCCAATTACCACCTACGAAATATCTTCTCATTATTTAATTATTTAATATACAATTTATATACTTCCTAGATTTGAAAAATAAAGAAATTTTATTAAATTTTATATTATCAATATATATATATATAAAATATGAAAAACAGACTGTTTTTAGTATTTAATTATATAAAGAATTGATAATTAAACATATTGTTTGAAAATGAAATGGTTAACAAATTTTTCATTATTATAAAAAATGGGATAAGATAAAACAATTTATATTGAAGTAAAAAAGTATTTATTAAATCTGAGCAAAAATTCTTTTGAATATTTAATTATTATTAAATGTTGAGTACATCATAAACTAGAAGTACCACTGAAACAATTAGTCGAATAATTATTAACGAAAAATATGTGATAGTGAAGAATATTTACAAAGGACAACAATACAACCTTTATTTAGGTAATAAATGATGAAGTTAAAAGATAGTTAGCGATTAAACACGAATAGTCGGATGATATTAATTCATCTAACCACTTAGAGAAATATTTTCTGATTAAAATGAAGAAGTATATTTCACTGTAATATTGTAGATAAACATAGTAGAATGAGGCTATTCCAGAACTTTAGTTTCTAATTAGATTAAAAGATTGTAACGAAATTATTTCCTAAATTAGTCAATTGTGTTCCCTTCCTTATCGATCATGGAGAATAAGTGATTAAAGGATCAAAATATCATTACCAAATTATGGAACGACATGGTCCTTCTATTAAACTTATATACAATTATTTATCTAGAAATATACCATTACCAATTTTATGTTTGATAGCAATTTAAGCAGTATCAACTCTCTATTTTATTCTTAGTTAAATTGTCTAGAAATTATTCATAAACATTAGATTGTTCATCGTAATATTAGACCAAAAAAATTGTTACTTTCAACAACTGGTAATGAAATTTTGTTAAGTGATTTCAAATATGCTTGCAAATTTAAAAAATAATATGGATCATTAATGGTTAATGAGAATTACAAATTAAATTCAAACAAATTATTTCTCAATAAATACTCAAGTGTCAATCAACATCTTAATTAAGGTAATCAATAATATTTATTATTTTTTAGGTCCTACACCAAAAGATGATTTAGAATCTTTAGCTTATATTTTACTTATGTATGCCTCTAATTCAAATGTATTTTAAATTAAAGCAGAAAACAAACTACTTAAACTTAAAAAATTAGAGAGTATTAAAATATCAATTATTCCTGAAATTGCTTTTAAATAAGCTCCACTTGAATTTATTCATTTCTTACATCTTGTTAAAACTAGTAATGCTAACGATTATCCATAAGATTATGAAAAATTTAAGCAATTATTTAGAAAAATCATTCAGACTAATGGATACACAGAAAAAGAACTCTCTTATCCTTTNTATTTATTAAATCTGAGCAAAAATTCTTTTGAATATTTAATTATTATTAAATGTTGAGTACATCATAAACTAGAAGTACCACTGAAACAATTAGTCGAATAATTATTAACGAAAAATATGTGATAGTGAAGAATATTTACAAAGGACAACAATACAACCTTTATTTAGGTAATAAATGATGAAGTTAAAAGATAGTTAGCGATTAAACACGAATAGTCGGATGATATTAATTCATCTAACCACTTAGAGAAATATTTTCTGATTAAAATGAAGAAGTATATTTCACTGTAATATTGTAGATAAACATAGTAGAATGAGGCTATTCCAGAACTTTAGTTTCTAATTAGATTAAAAGATTGTAACGAAATTATTTCCTAAATTAGTCAATTGTGTTCCCTTCCTTATCGATCATGGAGAATAAGTGATTAAAGGATCAAAATATCATTACCAAATTATGGAACGACATGGTCCTTCTATTAAACTTATATACAATTATTTATCTAGAAATATACCATTACCAATTTTATGTTTGATAGCAATTTAAGCAGTATCAACTCTCTATTTTATTCTTAGTTAAATTGTCTAGAAATTATTCATAAACATTAGATTGTTCATCGTAATATTAGACCAAAAAAATTGTTACTTTCAACAACTGGTAATGAAATTTTGTTAAGTGATTTCAAATATGCTTGCAAATTTAAAAAATAATATGGATCATTAATGGTTAATGAGAATTACAAATTAAATTCAAACAAATTATTTCTCAATAAATACTCAAGTGTCAATCAACATCTTAATTAAGGTAATCAATAATATTTATTATTTTTTAGGTCCTACACCAAAAGATGATTTAGAATCTTTAGCTTATATTTTACTTATGTATGCCTCTAATTCAAATGTATTTTAAATTAAAGCAGAAAACAAACTACTTAAACTTAAAAAATTAGAGAGTATTAAAATATCAATTATTCCTGAAATTGCTTTTAAATAAGCTCCACTTGAATTTATTCATTTCTTACATCTTGTTAAAACTAGTAATGCTAACGATTATCCATAAGATTATGAAAAATTTAAGCAATTATTTAGAAAAATCATTCAGACTAATGGATACACAGAAAAAGAACTCTCTTATCCTTTATTTCATGTTAATTTATAAGAAAAACCTCAATCATCATAATTTCAAAGTCAGACAAGCAAATTTAAAAAAATGTAACATCAAAAAATGAGTTCAGAATCAATCAAAGAAGAAGATGCAGATGATGAGATGTCACCCTATTAAACAGAGAAGGCTACCGAAGATAGAACTATTGAACCATTAATTAAAGGATTAGCAACAAAATAATTTAAACTTATTTCTTTTTTAAATTAACCTTAAGTTGAATAGTAGATTATTAAACTCAAATTTACTAAAAAATGATTCTTTGATCTAATTATGTGTATTCTCTATTTTTCCTTTTAATAATATGATATATAAATTATTGAAAATTAATATGAATAAATTTATTCTATTAATATAGAACTTAAATTCAAGATTATATTTTTATAGCATTATTTAATTATACTAAATTCATTTATGCTACTAAACCAAATGAATATTTCACAAAATTGATTATCTTGTAAGTTCAGTATATATTAATTACAAAATAGAAAATTTTATTATTCACAAAGTTCTTCTGTAAAACTCATATGCTTATTCTATCATTTATTGATAATAAGGTTGTAATTTTGAGAGGAGATTTTTTAGTGAGGTTTCACAACATCCAGCATTAATTGAAATTATATTCAAATTAATGCCTCCCTTTTCTTAAAATACAAAATCTCCAGTTTATTTAATTAAAGCTGAAGCAATAACATGTTCATGCTCCCCTTAAACTAAATTTTAATTCTTTAGATATGAATAAAGAAATCTACAAAGTGTTTAAAATTTCTGATTAAATCCTAATCCAATACAAATTCTGCTCATGTATTATAAAGTAAAGGCATCCTAATCAAAAGGTTTTATTTGATTAAGTGATATCAATAACTTGCGCACTTATTTTTCATCACAAACTAATGCTTATGTGATTTCTTTAATTCTGAATGGGATTAATAGAATTCTAAAAGATTAAATAATCAATGCGCAAGCTATTGATTAATATCTTTTTGATTTTACTTTTTCAATCATAGAGTTATTTAGTAATTCAACAGATTGATGTTTTATATTGTCAATATTTATTCCTTATAACATATTATTATTCTTTAAGTTAGCAAGCATTTCATCAACCAAAAGATTCACTTATTTGTATCTTCTTTTATCTGATTTTTATAATTAAACTTAAGTTTTTGTATCCTCTGATGAAAATTGATCATATATGTTCCAATTAAATTTAGGAGCAGGAATTCTTTAATTTATTTTAGTATTCATTTAAATTTTTAATTATTATTTATGAAATAAATTTTCAATTATTATATTTTTTTTGAGTAATTATAATACTTTCTGAGCAGAATATTTAAGAAATTTAAAATGAAATAGATAATAAATAAAATATAAATTCTAACAATCAAAAATTGAAATATAGATAGTATTTTTAAAGAGTTTAGTTTACTAACAGTTAATCATTAAAAATAATAATTTAATGGAAAATCAACGGATAACTAAATATGTAAAATCAACTTCTTCTTTGAATTTTAAACAATCTTCTAAATACATCTAATGTAAAATAGAATAACATATAAAATAGAATCAAATTCTCTCAATTAGAAACGATCAGAATAAATAATAAAGAAAGCTCTATAATAAAATATTCCATTGATACCTCTAAAGTAAATAAGTAATGTACTTCCAACAAGAGAAACTCCAATTTTCAAATAAAATCATGATGAACGATACTCTTATACAAAGTAATCATTAATTAAGATATCATATTAGAGATGCCAATTGTTTAATATCTAAATTAGATTCACTTAGAGAAATCAAATCAGCAGATAGTCCAATAAGAAGTCATGTCTCTCCTGTACCATCTACATTATAGAGTGTTATTGTTCTTAATCAAAATAACGCTCCAAAAATCTAACAGCTTTAACAAGTGGCTAGTTCTAGTTGTGTCGAACCTTTTAAGATTTTTAACAATAATAAGAATGCTACTCATAGTTAATAATTAAGTTAAACACTTCCTTCAAAAAAAAATTATGAAACTATGATTGAAACATTAATGAAAGAATAAGAAGTTTTAGTTAAATAATATACCGATTAAATTAAACTTTTAGAATAGAAAACATAAGTATTTTCAAATGAAAATAACAACTTAATTTAATAAAACAAATAATATTTGGAATAAAATTCATAGTTAAATGAAGAAATTAATCACTTAAAATCAAAATAAACTTAAATCAATAGTTCTTAATCATAATTAGATACATAGATAACTATAGAATTTTTAGAGAATTAATTAGATTAGAAAAAGAATGAACTTAATTAATTGATCTAAAATATGAATGAAATAGTTTCAAATAATTAGAAGAGTGAAGAAAGAAACTATGAATTATCATAATAAATTAATACTATTTTAGAATAGAAAGAAAAAGAAATTAATGCTTATTTTACCTAGATTACTATATATAAATAAACAATTTAAGATCTTGAGTTAAAGATTGCATAATTAATTTAGAATGATTAATCATAATAGAAAGCCTTGAAGGAGGCATAGAATAAAACAGTAAATATAGAATAATAAGAAAAAATAAAATAAAATTTATTGAATTCATAATAGTAGTTAAAAGTAAAATATTTCAAATTAATTTAGATTAATGTAAAAGAAACTTTTGAATACAAATAATTAGCCTTGGAATTAGATAGTAAAAATGTTACAGTAACAGAAAAAGAAAACTAAATTGAAACATTAAAAATTAAAAACTCAATGATTTAATAGCAATTAGCATAAACATAAGTTTGTTAAACTTCTCTAAAAGAAAATTAAGAAGTTATTATATAATTAGAAAGAGAAAATGATAATTTAAAATAAAATTTGATAAGCAAAGATGAAGAAATTCAGAAATTAAGTTAATAATTAAAAATGGTAAGAAAGGAGAAAGCTAAATTATCAATAAATTTAATGAATGCAGGAATGGCTAATCTTGTTATGTTATCTTAAGGTCAAATTTAATAAGAAGAGATTACAGCTTGATTTGATTAAAAAATTATTTAAAATATAAAAACTATCAAATACCAGTCAAAATATCATACTCAAATTCACAATCTATTTAATCTAAATTACTATTTGCTATATAACCAACACCATGTTTTTTACCATTTTAAAAGCTTCCTTTATAATGAATTCCTTCTAAATTATAAAATAAGGTTCCTTATCCTTCTGGTTTTCCATCTACAATTTAGCCTGTATAATATAATTTGCTATCTTATTATATTTCATTAGAATTAACATTTATAACTTCTCCTTCATATTTTTTTAATAATAGCAAAATTTCTTCAATAAATGCATTTTTTTTTTCAATCTCTGAATTAAATAGCAACTATTAAACTGGTCTTTATTTTTATGATCCTTATTTGATTACATCTTATAATATTTCAATATCATCCTCAATTGTTGAATATACTTAAAGGACTTTAATAACATTTTTTTAGGAAATCTAAAGTTCAAAATGCTAACGATGATAAAATGGAACATTATCATATGCTTGGAGAGTTTTAATTCCAGAGATTCTGCAATTTTATATTGACATTTTGGATATAGCATTAGAACTTTCCAATTTAGAGATGATCTAAATAAACTATTTTAATACATCTAATTCACTATTACTATTTTTAATATAATAGTTTAATTGTGCAAGATTTGAAAGGTAATACATAGTGCCATAAGAGTCAACAAAGAAATAAGAGATTTTGAAAGTCTTATTATTTTTTCTTTGTTTTGTAAAAAACCCTGTCATTTAAGTTAAACTTGCCATTTAATTTATAATATAAATATTATTATATAATAACTTTAGTCATTGCTAGATTGTTTATTATTATGGATTAGTTTATTCTATTCTTTTTTAAGTCCAATCATATTAGTAATCCAAAGCAAACCGTTATTTTTAGAATAAATCTCGAAAGAGTTGTCTACAATAGTCATAATCTGGTTTTTCAGTAAATTACAAATTTCTACAATATTTGAGATATTATTAGAATTCTAAAGGTGTTCCTGAACATAATAATTCAACACTAGTTGCAATTTTAGATTCCATAATTCTTTCATATTTATCTTTCTTGTTATTGTTTTTTAAATTCTACCATGGAAGTGTTCCTTTTAAGAAATATATTAAAACATATCCAATACTTTCTAAATCATCTCTTCTACTTTATTCTAATCCAAGATGAGTATTAATTGATGCATACCTTGCAGTGCCAGTCAAATTTTTTTTCTCTCTATAAGGGATATGAGATCCATCTCTTGTTATAAATCTTTTAGCTAATCCAAAATCAATCATAAATAATGTTTATGCTCTTTTACCTAAACCCATTAAAAAATTGTCAGGTTTTATATCTCTATGAAGAAAATCTTTAGAATGAATGAATTCTACTCTAGTAATCATTTATTCTACTAACATAAGAACAGTTTTTAATGAAAACTTTCTTTGACATTAAGTAAGCAATTCTTCAAGGGAAGATCCTAACAAATCCATCACCATAATATTATAATCTCCTTCTGTTGAACAATAATAGACTTAGGGAATTCCTTTCTCTACAGAATCATTTTCTTGACTAAGATGTTAATATAGTTTTGCTTCATAATAAAGTTATGGATGTTTGGCACTAATAGGCTCTAATTTTATTGCTACTTCTATATTATTTTTAAGCTAATATAAACATTAAATTATATTCATTTACATTTATTCCATGAAATATTTCTCCAAAAGCACCACTTCCTAATTTCTTAGTTAATTTAAATGTTTTTCCTATTTTAGAATCCATTATATTTGAAATAAATTAAAGCTTTAAGATATTTATAAATCACAAGTTAGACTATTCATCATTAAGTTTAAGATCTAAATTCTATTTCTTGGAGTATATAATACTATTTTATATCTATAAATAAAGACTAAAAATGAATTATGTTTTTTTTAGAATATTAAGATAAAAATTTAGAATAAAAAATTACTAAATCAAACGAATTTATAATTAAATACCAATAACAAATATATCGAATCATTAAAGTTTAATATAAAAAGATTTATCAAGTTGTTGAGAGTTAAATTTATTTTTTAAACTTATATAATTGAATTTATAATCTCAATATTGAAAATATGAGTTTTTAAATGATTAGAATTTGTTTTATAAAAATAGATTCTCATATAAATTGGGTGAATACCTAATAAAAATTAATTAGAGAAGCAATAAAAAAAAAAGTATAAGGATGGAAAAAGAGTAGAGTTTTCTGATATCAATTTATAATAAAATTGAAAATGGATTATGATATATTTATGAGATGTATTATTTAGTAATTAATTATTGAAACTTGAAATCTATGAGAATGGAATGATATAAAAAAGTAAAATTTATCGAAATGAAATAATTGATGAATAAACTGTTTTGGGAAATACCTCAATAAATCACATATATATTTGAATAATTACAACATAATAAAGAAATATATGATTTTCAAAAATATTTGAGATTAATCTTTCTTAATCATATATTAAAAATAATATAGTCATATAGGTTGTCTATTTTTGATCTCTTGAAATAATTAATATTAAAGATTGAATTAGTTAACTAGATACATTAGTATCAATTTATATAGATTAAGGAATTGAGTTTATAATATTAAAAATATTATAAATAATAAATTCATTTTTTCCAAATGGAACATATGGATAAATAATCAAGGAGTAAGGTAGGATAATAAGATTTAAGAGTATCAAAATCAAAATAGCATATTTGTTCATAATTGTCTTTACATTTGAAAACAAGATGTTTATTTTACATAAGATGATGAGAATTGATACATTCAAGTGGAATTTTGCCATCACTTACCTAACATTTAGAATTCTTATCATAGTATTTTTAATTGAGAAGGTTAAATTTAGGTAAATCAGTATATTGACTTTTATATCCAGGAGGTAAAGAAGCTTATGGTTTATAAATGATAACTTCTTCATCTCTTTTTTTCTTTTATTCCTTCTTTTTAATCATCATTAACATTTCCTAAATAAATTCTTTTTCAGTTTTATAATGACCATATTTGAAAGTACATTCAGCAATAGGTAAAGGATATTACTTTTATTGATATTTTTAAGATTCAATTTTGTAATCATTTTTATAAGATAGAAATTCTCTATCAGTTTCACTTTTTCTTGGTCTGCCTCTACCTCTTCTCATATAGAAATCATAATCTTCTTTATCATCAGTTCTATCTATATAAATAGAAAAATAAAATTTACTTTCATGATTTTTAAAATGATTAGTTTCTTATTGTAATTTATAATTATTACCATTAGTTTCTGTTTTATTTGTTTAAGGTAAAAGTGCATATTTATTTTCAGATGTGAATTTTTTATAGACTTGACATCCTTTGTTCATAATATGAACTCTTATTTTGATGTGAGTATTGGCTTTGTAAATTTTGGTATGATAATTTTTATAATTTTAACATCTTTCAAATCTGGTGATTAATTAATTGGAAATGCCATCAAATGCAGTTTCTGGTTCCCAAGTTGATTCTAATTTGGTATATCCTACCCATTTGATATAATACTCAATATTATTAAGACATCTTTTGCCATGAACAAATTCAACTTCAAATTGTTATTATTGAAATTCCATAGTGTAATTAGTTACTAAAAGTTTCCTTTATTTCCATGATTATTTTATTGTATAATAAATTGTTAATATATATATATATCATTTAGGTTTTTTATCCTTTTTTGGAGGTATCACAACTTAAGGTTTATCTTCCTAAGCTCTAGATTTGACTTATTGTCGAACTTCATCCATATCTTTACAATCTTCGTCTGAGCTATCTTCTTCTTTGTATACAAATTTAATGTTGGTTTCAACATTTTCATTTATATCTTAGGTAATATAACTCTATTGATAAAATATATATTATATATTACCTTTGGATTAAGACAAATAAAATCTTCAACTTTATTATATCTAGGATTAGTGTTGATAGATTCTTCATTTAAAAATTCTTAAGTTTTAGATAAAACAGTCAGCATTCTTTCTAATCTTAATTAGATAGTAGATGCAGTAGCAACTAAAGCATGTCTTTTTATCTCTATATTTTTAGGTTTCATTCCTTTCCCACTTAATTAATACATTATTCTTGATAATGACATTGTAACCTCATCTATAGATTTTTCAACCTTTTTTACTTATTTCTCTTTCTCTTAAAGTAGATCTTATTATTTAGTAACTTCTCTTTCTTATTCATCTAAATTAATTTAAGCATCTAAAATAGAATTCTCTTATTCATATTTTAACTTCTTTATTTCTCCTCTTAATTCTTCATTCTATCTTTCATATCTTTCTATCTCCTTTCCTACATATTCTTATATATTTTTTAATTCCTACTAATCTAAATCCATATTAAGTTTGTACTTTTACATATCCTCCTAACTTGCAATACTTGTTACCACTCTCAACTTTTAAAACATTTATTTCTAAATGATTGTTATATATATATACTTACTTTCTTTTCTAATTCTTATTAAATATCACCCTTTTATTTATTAATATTTTCAGTCGCATTCTCTATAGCTAATTTAGCCTTATCTTTTTTTTCTCCTTTTTTCTTTTTCTCATTTTATTCTTTAATTCCAATGATCTTCTTCTCTCCTTATTAAACAATCTCTAATGCTTATAAATCACCACATTTTGATAATTCATCTTCTAATATCTCTTCTAACATAGGATCAAATCCTCTTTTCAAACTTGCTCCAAAAAAATTCTGTTAATTATAACATTCACTTCTATATTTAGTTATTATCTTTGATAATGATTCTAATTATTTCTTTCTACTCATCATACTCTAAGAAGATGCCTCATATTATTAGTATTTAATTTTCAATCCATCATATGTAATCTAACATTACTTCTACACTTCCAATAATAATTTTCCTTTGTTTAATTACTCTAATTACTTCGTTTTCCATACATATCTCGAAGCTTAGCTATTTCATATGCTTGCTTAGCCATCTTCTCCTCTTGTATCTACTCCTTTTCTATCAATTCTTCTATTGTTTCCTTCACCTCTGTATCATCATTCTATATTGCCAAATCATTTAATAATTCATCCATCCTTCTACTCTTTATTATCATCTGCTTTATCTCATATAATAATCTATCCTTATATAATCGTTGCTTATTTAATTATTCTTCCTTTCTTTCCAATGCACCCTATATTTTTGGCTTCTATTCCAAATCATGTAATGCTGTAAAGATTCTCTTATTATACAAATCATGCAAACTCTTTTATTGCTCATTACCAATATGAGCATATAAATCTTTATAATGATTTTATACTAAATCCTCATATTCTTTTTTTATCTCCTCTATCTATTACGATTGAGTTTCCTATAAAGGCTTCGGTTTCTGATTCTTATCCTTATCTTTCTTCCCAGGAGCTATCTCTTATACTTATCTATACGTATCAATTTCGTTGTTGCCTATTATAATGCATCACGGAATAATTCAATCTTTTTTACTTTCGATAAAGATTTCGGAGAATGATGTTGTCCTACCTATGAACCTTTCTAATTCACACTCTTTGAAGCATTCTAATTATTACCCAATTAAGGCAGTTTTGAATTTGAAGTCTGTGTCTTCTATGGCTGTAACTGATTTATTCAATCTCTATTTACCTCTTTCTATCCTTTATTTATTGTCTGCTCTTGTTATTTCGAAACATTTATTTTCGGCTGCATCAATTGTACCGGTGCTGTAAGATCAAATGTAGAACCACCTCCATCCATTTATTATATAAATTATAATTAATACTTATCAAATTTTATGTTTTATATTTCTAACTCATAATTAAAATTGTCAATAATGAACGAACTAACCATTAATATTATATTACATAATGAATAAATTTACTCTGACATTCTATCATAGTGATCTTGAAATCTAATATCAAGCAACAAGAATTTTGGTCAGGAAAAGAATCTTTTATACTATTCTGGTTAGTTATCTTATTATGAATTTGATTTCGTATATTTAAGACATCCTTACAACCAGAAATCAATTCTTAATGTAATTAGAACTTCTTTTAATTTGCATACTTATCCTCCTTTATATAATTTATTGTTACATGGATAACTATTTTAGTATTTACTTTTTTATTTTAAACATGATCGGATGTATGATGCAATTTTTACTATTAAATAATTAGTCAACTTAAAAAATATTCATATTTGGTGCAAATCTTATGGCAAGTTAGATGATACTATTACAAAGATCAGATTTCATTTTATCACTTATTTAAATACTTTTTATTGGAATGACAAGAATAACACTGTTGATTGTTTTAGAGGAAATAGATTATCTTACAATTTTAACAACTATTTTGATTTCAATTTTTTTAGCTTTTATTTAATTCAGAAGTGATTCAAATAGAAGATAACAATTTTTATTAGCACTCAAAAACAACCATTGGGGTATATATAAATATAAAATAAGATCAATATTTGCCATGCATGATTCAAAAGCCGTTTTTTTATTTTGAATATGATCACTCTCAGTTTCTAATAAAGAATATTCACAGAAAAGAAGAAATACCAATTTATAATAGGGAATTATGTTAAGGATGTAATCTAAGAAGTTTATTGAGAGATTATAGCTATGAAAATCAGACTTTAGAATCATTTATTTTAAAAAGAGCTAAAAGCAGAGTACCTCTTATTTAGGGAGTTTAGATGAGTTGTTAAAATAAAAAGAAAGGAATATTGAATATTGAATATACAGAGATTTTTAGTGATGCTCATATCTACATAATAAGTATTATATCTTAATGTAATACTAATGATAAACTTCTTATAAAGAAAAAGTAAGCGTTTGAATTGTATCTTATGAATTACACTAGAAACTTAGTGAAGATATTCAATATTCGAAATTGTGGTATAAAAATAATAAATCTTAATATTAATTATCTTTGTCTTCTTTATTAAGAGGATCAAAAAATTAAAATATTTTCCCCTCAGTTTGCTCTTCTTTAGATAATAAAATTGATGAATAAAAAAAGGAGATAATGCAATATTCATATAGTTAGTGATAGTAATATAGAGATATAAGGATATAAAAATAAGTTCATTTGTTTTTGGCTTTAAATTGTGAATTTGGTAGTATAGTTAAGTAAAAGAGAATAGATAGAAATAAAACTTATAAAAAGAGAATAGGATATTGAATTTAAACTTTAATTAAGTATAGGAGTATAAGAATGTGTGAAATTATGGATAGGTTAGAATAGATTTCTGTAAAAATTATTGAATGATTTATTTTGGGAAGTAGATATGACTAATTTAAGATTTAAAATGTTTAATGATGTTGATATATCCTATTTAAAATATATAAAATGAATATATTAATTAATAAAATAAATAAAAGATGTCATCTTCTGAAGTAACAGTAAGCTATGGGAATAAGAGTCATTTTATATAATTATAAGATTACAAACTTCTTTAGGAGTTGAAAGATTCTTTAGTGAGAAAGTACAATTTAATTAAGATCAGATTATAGTATGAAATACTTTAAAATATAATTAGTTATATAGAGAAGGAGGCAGAGGTTAATATTGAAACAGAAGAGGAATATAATTACATGATAAAGAAGGGAGATGTGAAATAGTTATTTATTGAGGAATATAAAAAAGAGAAAATGAATTTAGATTACTTTATGTCCTAACTATTTGTAAATAACATATGTTGTGAAAATGATTAATATGGTTGTGCAATTTGTTAGGAAAAGAAACAAGTAAAACCTGAAGAATTGAATCAATTAGTATATGAATGTCTTCTTGAATTGTTAAATAAGGAAGATTTTTAAGCATTGTATTTATGATATTAAAGTAGTTGTAAAAAATAATTCAAAATGAATGTAGAGAATGTAGACTTATTTTTAGAGAAATTCAGTAAGTTAAGTAAACCAATAAAGTAAATATTGACTGTCTAACCTTCCTAATAATTTCCAAACAATTTTATAAATTAAATAAGTTAAGTAAGTCGAATTCAACCTAGTTAAGTAAGTCGAATTCAACCTAGTTAAGTAATTTAAAAATAATATCCTATGAATAAGTCTACAAATATTCAATAATAATCTGAATTTTAATAATAACCATCATAATTTTTACATTCAAACATATAATCTTCTCTTATTATTCCAGAATATGGAGTTAAATACGAAAAAAAAAAAAATAATTATGAATTTCCTCTTGACACTAATGCCAAGATAGAGGTCATGATTCAAAATGTTGGAAGTAAGACTTGGCCTTCAAATGTTTATATAAAGTAAGTTGGACATTATCCATCTAATTTTCAATATGTTCCATCCTTAAATCCTTAAGAAAGAAGATCTGTGAGTCTTTCATTTCAAACTCCTTTAGTAATTTATTAATTTTAGACTTTTAGAATTCTGGAGATTACAGTTATACTTGGGTTTTGTTTTACAAAGATGATTCTAATGAAGAAAAGAAAATTGGTTCTAAATGTACAACTGAATTCAAGGTTAAAGATTTACCTGCAATTTAAAAAATCAACAAATGTGTTGATCTGATGCTTCTTAAAATGTTTCAAAACAAAAGTAGAAAAGATATTAGAGTTTAAGTTGAAAATATAGTTCATAAAAACTAAGAATTGGGGATACAATAAATTATTAATTTAGCTTAAGACGAACTAAATAAATAATGAATAAGGATTTATATTAAAATTTATTTTAAAATAATTTAATTATGTAAAATTTCATGTTTAATCAATATATGAGTCAGGATTTAATAGGTACATAAAGTTGAATTAATTAGGTAAATAGATTCTTATCCATAATTTTCTTAATACTTTTCTGAAGATGTTATAAATAATGTTTTAATTGATGAATCTGATAAAATTAGAGAATTAACAGATCGACTTAAAGATTCATTAAAAAGTAAAACCAATAATACAATTTTACTTTATGGATAAGAAGGTTTTGGTAGGAAATCTGCCATCAGAAAAGCTATTGATAATTGTGAATAAGAATTGTAGATGAAATCTAAAAAAATCATTAAAATATTTGTAAATGCATATGTATTTAAATTTAAATCAATCTTAGCTTCATAAATCTGAAGGCAATATTTTATCGGCAATTAATAATTAATTACTATAAATTGCATAAATTAAATCTAAAATCAACAAACTATCAGTTGATGAATTAATGAAACATTTCAAATAATATGAGAATATTTTTCATGGAATTGTTCTTGTCATTGATAGAGTAGAAATATTAGCAACTGTAAAAAAACAATTCTTCTTATATTCAATACTTGAATGGATTAGAGAATCTAAATATCCAATTATATTTGTTGGAATCACTTCGGATTTATTATTTTAAGAAAAATTAGAAAAAAGAGTTAAAAGTAGATTTTAAAATATTCCTTATTTTTTTATGGATCTTGATTTCTTGTTTATATAAAAGTTGTTATTAGCAAGACTTGAACAAATAGATAGAAACTAAGTTATAAATATATATGAGAATTACATTTAATCAAAATCTTTTGAAGATTTCTTTGCTAAATTACAATCATTATAAATATCTATTAGCAAACTTATCTTTCTATTTCGATCATCATTTTTCCTTGCGGGATCTCGATTTACTAAACCTGATAAAAAGATTGAGGACATTATTAAATTTGAAAGAAATACTTAAGCATAACCAATAAGTCTATAAGAATTAATGGAATAAAGTTTAAAATGGATTTACCCTAATGTTAAATTGGAAAATGGAAAACGTATATTTCTTTAATTTTATTTTTCTTAGTTCTCTCTTAACCTGAGTATGTAATTTTATTCACTTTATATAATTTGATCATGTAATAAAAACCATAAATTATGTTTGATGACATAATATAACAAACTAAAAAAGCTATGTAAATATACAAATTACAACATCATAAAAACTCAAGTGATTTTACTCCTCTAGTCTTGAATAAGGCTTTAGATAATTTAATCAAATAAAAATTCATTTCACTTCAATAATAAAGTAAAAATTTAGAAAACAATTAAATTATTCTTTGCATGTCTTTAGATGATTTAAAAAACTTGTTTGAGAATCTTAAATAAGATCTACCTGGTTTTATGATTTTTTTGTTTAATTTTAATTTTTGATCTAAATTTAAAATTATCTATATATATTATTTATATTAATAATTAATTTTCATTTCAATTAGTCAAAATAAGCTAATATTATTTCATCAATTGGATTCTCTTCTCCATACATTTCTATAAATTAAATAGCCTCTATTTTTGTAATAGCTGCATTTTCCATTAATTATTTAATCTTTTACTCATTGATTTTTTTCAAATTTGGTTTTTAATTATTCTTTTTTTTAACTGTGAATACAAGTAATAGTTTTTCACCAAAGCTTTTTTGTTTACCTTATTCATAATAAACCATCTAATCAAATAATTTATGAATTATTACTTAAAATTCACTTTTCAAATTTTCTGCTTCATAATTTGGCATTTAAAATTTACATATAAAATATGCTATTTCTCCTGGATTAACATCTTATAATAACTTATTAATAAAAATAATTATTTACTTCAAATTATTCATTTTTATAATATCCATCAACCCCACATAAAAATACATTGTTTTTTCTCCAGATAATATCACCAGTATTAGTTATTTAAACTTAAAACTATTCTATTTCATTGATAAATTTTGATAATTTAAAGTCTTTAGTGATCAATTACATTCTATATTCTGGTAATTTGGGCTTTAATAATTGAGCTTGTAATATGCCGTGATATTTCAATCTTTCATCTATTTGTTAGATTATAAATTGTTTAAATTCTTCTGAATTGTAATCTATTTTTAAAAATTCTTCTTATTTTTAGACTTGATTTATAATCCTAATTTCAATAAGAAATAAAAATTACTCTTATGTTACATCTTGCTCCTATTTAATCTCTTTGATTATAATTTTCTATTTCTATTATATTTCTGGTTTTGGTTCTTGATATTATTGAAAATTTTCAATAAATGTAGATAATTAAACAGAAGATTGGGAAACTACACTTTAATTTAATATTGAAAGATCCTCATTTGTTAGATTAGGATTAATTGAGTCTTTAACTAAAATTTTGATTGATGACCATTTCAGTTGATGATAAAGATCTTTGATTTTGAGAAGACAAGCTTCGTCTATAATTTTTAAAGGTTCTATTTCTATAAAAATTTAAAAAAGTTATACGATAATGCAATGAAATATAGAGGTCGAATTCATTTTATAATTGTTAAGGGTATAAGATTTGGATTGCATTTCTTATTTCTTCTAGAGTTTGATATTTTTAAGAAATTTTATGGGTTTTGGTATTATATATTATTTTGATATTCATTTTTATTATTAATTTAATAATTTATGTGATAATTGATTATTAAATTAATAATGATGTAGCTATAAATTGTTAAATATATTTAGGTATATTAAGAAATGAAAATTATAAATATAAATATGAATATTTCATAAAGAATAATAAATTATTTTTGTATAGTAGGAACAGGAAATAAATTAATAGCTCAGAATAGTGAATTTTAGAAATGTATTAAAAATGATTTTAAATCCTAGAACATACTTTGACATCTTTGGAAATATAGATAGGTGATTTAAATGAAGACATTCTGATGAAAGATAATGAAAAATGGGTAGATCTTTGTGGTAATAAACAAGTGTGGTTGAGATGCATTTATGATTAGAATTAATAGCCAATCACAACTCTAACAATAAAAGAATTAAAAATTGAAGATAATGAATTAGTATTTTAGTTTTATAATAATACAGAAAATACCATTAACAGATGATATCTATCCTGTGCCAATAAAGCGTAAATTCGATTAATTAACACATCAATTTAAGGGAATTAACAATGGATATTCTATATATTAAGGATTTTATGACATTTCTTAATACATAGATTAGCAATAAAAAAAAAGTCATCACTTAGTCTTATGCTATAAAACATAAAATTAACAAAACTATCAGTAAGCAATTAGTGAAATCTAAATAATATTGGCAGATAAAATTGATAAAAAGAAATACACATCTTCATTCAGTGATATGAGACTAGTAATTCCAAAAGATTTTCATGCACTTTAATTTCCATTATGTAATTTTCGTTTTATCATCTTCAAATAAAGTAAACAAATATTAAAATTTTCATTTAAGAATCGTCTCCGTTTAAAGTAGCATATATGCCAAAAATCATTGATAGATATCCTCTTGCAGATCATAATGATAGTCCGTTATCTCATATGATTTCTATGATTCCAATGGTATATATACTGTTTTTAAGTTAAGTTTTGTTTCCCACAAGGAATTTACTTTGAAAAAAGTGAAATAGATCCAATATCTAAGGGATAATAAATATTTAATTTTGTATTGACATCTGAAACTGGTAAACGAACTTATTGCATATGTTTGATTTTCCATGAAATAATTCCAAATGATATTTTAGATTAATTAGGACATATAGATAAAAAACAATCAATATGTTATCCTAAGGCATTGTGTTTATTAAGTTCATATAATTGTCTTGAGTAAATGAGAGAATTAATAAAGTATATTTATAGATGTTCTCTTTCTAAAAATAACATTCCAATAGAAAGTACAATTTGTAATATCATAAAAAAGATTAAATTCCCTCAATAAATCTTTGAATAAGAGAATATTTGTCTAAAATATGTATTACCTTCTTAAGATATTTGTTTTTATACCAATTATAAATATCCTATTGGATATAATGAAGCTTTAGAATGTTTGTTTAGATTGTTGGATATCAACAGAATAATTAATATCTATAGTGCAATACTGTTAGAAAAGAAGATACATTTTATTTCAAATCATTTATCAGTACCTGGATTGGTAATAGATGCATTTCTTTAGTTATTATTTCCTTTTTAATTTACATCTATTCTTATTCCTGTTTTACCTGATAGCTTAAGAGGATACATTGAAGCTCCAGTGCCTTTTTTAATTGGATATAGTTAAAAGAATATTATTGAATAAAATCAACATACATAGGTTGATAGTTTATATGTTTATTTGGATACTAATTTTATTGTAAATTGTGAAAATTTAACACCAATGCCAGAAAAAGCATTAAAGTAACTTAAATCTTCATTAAAACCATTTAATAATTTATTTAATGATGAGTATTCAAAATTCTATTTAAAAAGAGTAGATTAAGCTTATCATATTTATATGGATGATTCAAACTATGATCCTGAAATCAATAAAAATATAGATTGGTATTAAATAAGAAATGCATTTTTAGAATTTAATAGTATTCTAATGAAAAAATATAAAAAATACATAATTGGGAATTCTAATAATGAAGGTGATTTTACAGAGATATTTAACGTTTAAGCTTATTAGGATCATTGGAAAAAGGATAAATTTATATAATAATTTATGGAAACTAGAATATTTCAATATTTTATATAAGAACGTACAAAATTTAGTGAGAATGAATCTTAATATTAATTTTTTGATAAATACATAGATTCTAAAGATTAGAAATTAAAATTTCAAATACCAAAACAAATAATTGAAATTTAAGTGGCTGATGAAGATTAGTTAAAAGAGTATATTTATAAATATGATAAATTTCCATAATTAAATCATGAAATAATGAAAAATGATCTTGTAGAAGAGTAGGAAATAAATTAAGAGATTCTATAAGAAACTATTCCTTAATTGGATCAATAAAAATGGCCTAAGTATATATTGGAAACTATATATAAGATTTGGTTTTTAATATTTATTGTGAATGTTAGAAATAATCAAGACAATAAAATATTTAAAAAAATGACAGAATTAGCTATTTTAGTATTAGAATATATGAGATTGAAACATTTAAATTTAAATGAAAAATTATTTAGATATGTTCTTGAATCTTGTGGTTATTTTTAAATGGATACAAAAGCTTTATATTTGGTAAAGTTAATGAAAGAAATTAAATTGGAAGCATCTCCAGCTACACATGGTATTTATTTTTAAGCTGTTGCTTAAGCTATGAATTAAAAAGGATTGCCAAGTGATTAATAATAAGATTAAGAAATTTAATAAGTTGATTCAATTTTGTTACCAAGAAATTATACACAAAATATATATACTAATTCTCTTTATTCTTTACATTCTACATGTCCTACATGTAAAAGAAAATTACATTTTGAAGAAATAATTGACTCTTATAGAAAGAGTAAATATGAAAATTCTATAGAATGTCTTTAGATCAATTAAGGTTGTGGATAAGAATTCATACCTAAAATTTAAATCACATTATTTTAAGAAGAAAATCCTATTGAAGCTGAATTGTATGATATTTAAAATCCTATATAAATTCTCAAAAATCTTGAGAATATTATTAACATAAAAGGAGAAAATATTATATTGAATGACTAATTTGAAAAACAATACAAGAATCTATATGTTAATATTATTTTTTATATCAGACTTGTAAAATTGCCATATGGTCATTTAGTTAAATGTAATGATGTTAATGAATTATAAAATCAAATTGATTATGCAATTAAAAAATTACAAATGAAAAAATCATCAACAATATTTTAAAGAGTAGCTAAAGAATTAAGAGGAAAATTATCTCAATAAGGTGATTCATCAGGTAATTCAAGTTCAAAATTGAAATAAGATGATTATAACACAGCATAAAATTTTGGAAGTAAATACACTAAGAAAATATTCTCTTCATTAGTTAATGAACAATTTTCATCATAAAATAAAAGATAGAATTCAAGTAATATTTAATCATTATAGCAATTTGATGAAACAAAAGCTGAAAGCTCAAAATGAGTTTAAATATATTAATTTATTTTTTTAATATGCTTAAAGTCAAATATTCTTGTGGATTGAGAGAAGTTTAAACTGAAGCTTAATTTACTTAAGGAAATAACAAATTAAGAGATTTAAGAAGAATTATTTGTTAAGATATAAGAGTGAAGCCTCATTTGATTTCCATTTCTAATAATAATGAAGTCATTACAGATGATAATGAATTACTCAAAGATGACGAATTTTATTTTGCATATGTAATGCCTGATCTTAAATAATATAATTTTTAAATAAAATCTAGGGGAGGATAATTCTTTGAATGTACTCTAGAAGAACTTGACTTATTTTAAGACTTAATAGAATAAATAGATTAATTTCTAGCACAAATAATCAAATAAAATTTTGATTCTTATGAGCTCTACATTTAAAATCCTGATTAATCAAAAAACTTGATTCCAATTTAAAGTTAAAAAGTTATTCGAGATATTTTCAAAGAAACAAATATTATAATAGAAATATAACTTATACATAATATATTAAGTTTAACTTTATTAGAAGATGATAAAATTATTAAGATTCACAGAAATAAAACTTTACTAGATTTGAAAGAACAAATAGGGCAAAACGAATAGAATTTAGCAGTTGTTATTAATGGAAAGTATCCACCTTAGAATTTTGATAACAGATTGATTAAGGATGTTTTGTAACATGAAGACACAATTTTTATAGTTCAAGTCAACACATGATTCTATTTTTACGTAGTGATTTGAGAAATTATATAGCTTATTAAGGAGATTTATTTGTTTATATTAGTTTTTTCTTTAATCTTTAATTTGTCCGTTCTTTTTTTCCATTTAATATTGATTTTATTATTTCTAATATACTCATTATTTATTGCTCTTTTTCATGTTTACTTTATCCTTCTAAAAGATTCATACATTTTTTAGCTTTTAGTTATAAATTTAATTCTAATGGAGTTTGTAATTCTTTATTAAGTATTAAAGTCTATTCTTTTTAAATAATTGACGATTCTTCTTTTTAATCATTAACTTCACTCAATGATACAATCTCAAAAGGCATTGGTTTATATTACATAGGATTATCATATTATTATGATATTATTTAAGTCAATTTATTTTTGCTGATATATAGTTACGGAAAGGTTCTTATGCAGGATTATTGTTTTAATTAATTAATTGATTCATTTAGACTATAAAATTTAAGCACATCCTCCATGTATTTATCTTTATTATTATTTATTATTTATTCAACATAATTTTCATTATTTTACTAATAAAATATTCAATCATTTATATATAATTAATATTGTTCGCTAAGCAAACTAATTCTAATGACTTATTAATTATACTCAGTTATTTTTAGAGAATTTAAAATAACAATGAAATATTAATATTAAACAGCATAAACTATCAATAAATTAACTAATTTTTTTGATTTTAAATATCTAAACTAAGTATTATAAAGAATCAAGACAATGATTTTATAAATAAGATTTCTTGTTACTTTATTATTGTATGAATATTAATATTTTATTAAGAACTTAGGTATGATTCTTCAATTCTAATAGGGATTTGATTAATTTACATGGATGTATAAATTTAAATACTATTTAGAATATTTTTGTTCAAGATTAAATATGATTGTAAAAATTTTAATTTTTCCAATTATTTTATCATAGGCTTGCTATTAATTAAATGAAGAGCTGTTGTATGTTATAACAGAGAATGAGAGTATTAGAGTAAATCTTTCATAAGTATTTATTGGAAATAATATTTAATATTTGACATCATCAGAATTGAAAATTATATCAGCATTCAATGAATATGATAAAAATGAATTGCCTGAACAAACTTATCCAATTAGTTTTAAACCATTTCTCAATATCAATCATAAATGGATCAATTAATTTGCTTATATGGCTGAGAATTACATTTCTGTGAATATTACATATTCTAATCCATAAATTAATTTAAATACACCTTAATTTAAGACAGTTTTATATTTGGAAAAACAAGATTAAACATTAAGTTGCTTTGATTTTGATTATTTTAGAGATGATAGTTTTATAATTATGTGTTAAAGAGATACCCAAAACTTAATTTATATTCATCATAAAAATGGTGACTTAATAAATTAGATTGAACTTGAAAACTTTCTAAATATAAAAACTATTCAAATCACTAATAACCTTGAATATTTTTATAAATTAGAATCTAATCAATTTCAATCTGTTTTAGCAATTTATAAATGGAATTAAAACTAAACTATTTTAACATTATAATCTATAATAAATAATTCAACAATCAATAAGTTATTTCCATCTTAAGAATTTATTTCTTTAAAGATTAGTTAATATAAGATACTGAATTAAAATATAATTTTTTTCCTTGATTAAAATTTAGGTTTGTTCCAATCAGAGAATGATCATGTAACTTTGATTAAAAAAGATAAAATAACATCTTTTGATTATGATGGTGAAAATGGGTATTTAGTTTACCTCTAAAAATAGTAGATAGTAATCTATTAAAATTAGCATTATATTCATACAATATACTTGGATAGTATGGTTGATGAAAAAGCTTAAGTTCATATATCTGGATAATATGTCATACTACATAACACAGGACACTTCTCAAGTTTTAGTATCTATTCTGGATATTTATTACAAAAAATTAACAGCGAAGGTATTATAACTTATTTATCCTCATAACATTATTTGCTTACATTATCAAATGAATTTTCACATTTCTACTTACTATCTAATGGTTATTTACTTTTAAATTCTGATGATATTTAAAAGAAAAATCAATTGATACATTTTTTAATTTAAGGAAAAGATCTTCATGGTACCTGTAATACTACAATTAATTTACAAATTATCTAAGAAAATTAAGAAATTTTGATAGCAGACGAAGTCAAGAATCCAATTATTGTTGGATCTCCTACTCATTAACAGTAATTAAAATTAATGATTTCTGGACCAAATCAAAATTATTTATGTTTATCTAATTGCTCTATTTAACACTTAATTAATTTTCCCTTTTCTATTTAATTGAAGGATTAAGTAATCTATTAAGATATCCTGAAAATAAATAATATTGATTATTATTTAGTCTAACAATTCTAAAACAATCAATTGGTTATAAATAAATGCATATTGAAATCTCAATTATTCTGCTTATAATCAGCGACTATGCAAATGAAAATTAGTTTAAATGAAAATAATTTTTAATGGTAATTAGTCGATGAAACTATTTATTTTGTAATTTTAGAAAATTCATTTACCATTTCATTACAAACAACAAACTCTACAATTAGATAGCTTTCTTTTGAGAAAAATGTTAAATAAATACTTTTTAATAAATCATCACTTTATTTAATTTTTGATACTTAGATTCATTTTTTTAAGAATATAATATTAAATAATGACTTTATATTGATTGATGATTCTTTTATAAACAAATGTTCTTATTCTATTAGTTGGTAGCCTATAAGATTATAAATAAATTAGAAAGGAGATACATTGTTTATCATAAATCATGGTAATCTGTTGATTACGAGTTTATTTACTGATTTTTATATCAAATATTATTTAAATATCGAAATAAAGGAAAATGATTATATAGCAATATCAGATTAAACCTTTATTTTAATAAAAGATAATATAATATTCGAATATAACTATTGTTAAGAAGTTTATTTAATTCATAAAATCCCTTCTTATTAGTAACAATTTTATTAACCAATTAATGCAAAGTCTTTTAATGAATATTTATTAATTTAAACTGAATAATAGGAGATACTAGTTTATTAATTTAATACTTATGCCCACAATTCTCTAAAAATTTAAATATCAATGAGCAAAACTGGTTTTCAAATATAAAGATAATAAATTTATTTTTCCCCCTTCACATCTGATTTACATTTATTTATTTTGTTGTATGAAAATGAATAAATCCTCAAAATGATTCATTTGTACCCAATCATCACATATAATTTTGAATATTCGAGTGATAATTATATTTAAGAAACGACAGCTTTAATAAAAGTTAGTAATAATAAGTATAGTTTATAAATAAATTAAAAAATAAAATAGATTAATACTCTTACATCTATTAAATTTTCTGAAAAGGAACTTTAAGAATAAAATAAATTTTACCTTTAAAAATATGATTAGAAAATACCTATGATTCATGAATGGTATGAAGGATAGGTAATAGATTTTATAGTTGAGAGTGAGATTAAGGATGTTGTTACTGTACAAAATCTTTTAGAAAGGACAGAGAATTTACTATCTAATAGTCTATAATTTAATAATTTAATATCAATTAATAATGTTACAAAGATTTTATAAGGAACTACATCAATTTTATAAATAGATTCATAATTCTAAATCATATCACTTATTAATCTAGATGTTAGATCTTAATTTAATTGTATTTCAACCATATAAGATTAATACTTTTTTTATACATTATGTAATAATATGACAGATTCATATCTTCACATTACTAAAGTAGATGATGGTTTCCCTTTAGGATTTCTTTATTAATTTGATGGTATGACTAAAAAAATTGCAAATATAAATAAAAAAATCTTATTTTTGTCTGAATATACATTATAAATGGGTGATATTTTACAGGAAAATGGAAATTTTAAAATTAAGAATATCATATAAATAAATTCAAGTTATTTAAAATTAAAAATTCCATTTCATGCAATAGATTTTGATATTACTGAAGAAGAGGGAAATGAATTTATAATTAAAATAATAGATATAAGTGGTATGATTGCTATTTTAAGAGGAATCTATTCAGAAAATAATTATGTAGTATTTAATATTTAAACTTTTGATGCAAAAGAGTTATTAAAGAAAAATAATTTATTTATTCTTAGTGACACCTCTTTTATCTTCATAAAATAGCTATTTCATTTAAAGGATTTTATTTAGAATTTATGTTTTCTTATAATAACTAACAATGCTGGATCATATGGAATAAGAATAACTTATGATGAAGATGCTCATCCATCTTTAGAATTCATGATTATTTAATATGGATTTTGGGAAACTTAAAGATTTGATATTGGAAATAATATAATTGCTATATCATACAAGAATGAAAATAAAGTTTTTATAGGTCTATACAAAATTAATTTTGATCAAATACATTTTGAATTCAAAAAATATACAATTAATTCAGGTATCTAAATTGATTAATCCTCTTAAAACCCTGTTTTCTTTTTCTTAAAGAATAATTATCTGTTTGTTGATACTTAAGATTAGACATTTTAAGAATACTATATAAATGACTATGTCTATTTTTCTGTTAAAGGAGCTTAGGATCGACAACATGTTAATATCACTGCAAAAAATGACTTTACATCAAATTCAATCAATTATATCATTAATTATCATATTGAAGATGAATCGTAATATAAATTTTATTTAATATTAGATCAAATATTTGGTGGATTGTGTTAGTTAGTGTTTGTGGTGGAACAATATTGATAACTCTTTGCTTTTATATCTATAAACGAATGCATCCTGTTAAAAGTGTAAGCTCTATTTTATTGGAATGATAGTTAATATTA